TGTCTAGAGTCACATTTGAGTGGCGCTAATAATTTAAGAGGTTCTCAATATCAATAATAATGAGTCAAAATATTTAAGTACTTATGGTAGAAGTTTTCAACAATGTCGTTAACTTGATTTCTGATTTCCAAAAATCTGAGATGGAAAGCTATTTATGGAGACATATATAGACATACGAGCAGACAGGTGCTTATACTTATAAGTTGTGACTGATATATATTTTCAGGTCACATTTCCATCGTTTTCTTCAAAATATATGATAAGTTAGTGAAGCAAAGTTTTTGGAAATCCAAAGTGGAGCAGTGTTTTAAGGAACATGGATAATCCATATTGAAAAAATATTTTTCGTTGTTGATTTTTAATTGCTATGTGCAATTCAATTCGATTCAATTCAATTTAATTTGACAAGAAAATATGGCAATATCAGTTCAGCTACGGATATAAGCTAAGGTCTAAAAGAGTCTTATCATTTAGTAATTATGGGGTTCAGCACACAGAAATAGTCTTTCATTTCATTAAGAATTTACTAGAAGAAATGTTTAATAAGCACTTTAATAAGCACTTGGCCATGCCTTATAATTTAAGATATAAGCATAGACTCCTAGTTTCATCACTAAGCCAATGTGGTGTTCAGCACACGGAAATAGTCTGTAATTTCATACAGAATTTATAATAAATTAAGCCCAATAAGCAGTTCATGCAATATTATATCGACCCATATCTCTAAACGATAATCGCCTAGTTGTTGTTATATGCTTGTAATTTATTATATTGAAAAGTATTCGGAGTTTTTTTTCAATATATCTGGCAACACTATTTCAATTATTTGCAAACAAACAAAAGTTTGAAACGTGATACTTTCGAACATATTTTCTATAAAAATAGAATAGTAATACTTCCTCTCGTATAAAATATAATTTCTTGAAACGAGTAAAATTTAGTAATACACTTAGAATTTGTAAATATTACACTTCATCAACAAGGCATATAATTGCATCTCAGGTCTGCACCCTCCGCGAGTCCTGTTCTCCTTCTGAGATTGATACCGTGTCTTAAGGTCAGATCATATTCGCAAAGCAATTCAGGCTTTATCATTATGTATTTAATGGGATCAATCTTGAGGTCCCTGAGGATGTCATTCGTCCTAATGTACCATGGTACAACATTGTAATATATTAAATATTATGTTATTTATTTATATGTTATATATGTTTGTATATAATTATATATATATATATATAAACGGAGTAGGTTTTTTTTTTAAATTATATACAAAAAAAAGAAATTTCTTACCTTTCGTAATTTAAGTTACTGCTTTCCTATTATTTCTTTTTTTTTATTTATTATGCTGTATTATAATGTATTCTAACATTATCGGACTGTTTGGGGTATTACCGTTTAAAATGAGAACTAAAAAGCGCACTCAATTTATTCGTAAAAATGAGGTACTACAAATGTTTAAGAACTTCTCTGATGGTAATAAATATAATTTTTGCGGTAAGTTAGATTTGGCTGTACTCATAAGACTATTTCACAGTAAGAATATAGCTATATCTTCTGCTAACAAATCAAACCATATTAATTGCATTCATTAATTCTAAGTAGTTCACTTATAAAAATGACTTATATTTTTCATGGGTCCAGTAATTTAAGACTGAATATATGTTTGTCAATTATGGAAATTTATTCGCAAAGTCAGTGCTCAAAAAAAAAATGCATTTCAGATTTTCTGAAATTATCTGCATTATCTTCTGCAAAGTGATTTCATCCATAGTCTAAGAAACTCCAGTGTTCACCCATCAGCTACCGTTTAGCAGTTGTTTAGTTTAGTCTATAGAATAGTGATGGACCAGACAACACTATTTTAAAAATTAAAAATCACCATTAATTGCACCCATTATATATCGATATTAAAGGAATTGGTCTCTGAATAAACCGATTGACTGGCCACTAATATTGTATGATCTGACAGCATTAAATTATTTCTTGTGAAGGTAATTGAAATAATTTATCTATATTGTGTATTTTTTTTCAAAGAGCCACAGTGTTGGCTATATAGTCCAACTCGGTTTTTTTCAACTCTACCCTATAACAAAATAAAAATAGATTCCTATAATTACTTTTTATGTTTAAAGCTAACTACTAGTAGAATATATCTGTAATCTGCAATTCGACATTAGATGTGATAGGAACTCATATTATATTTTTATGAATGTTTTTTGTTTTTAGATTATTGCAGTGATCTACATTATTTGTAATGCCATAGTCATCAATCACTTAAAATCGGAAGAAAGGCATTCTCTCATACTTTACATTGTATTGACTGTGTTGTGCGTGGCGTTTGTAATGTTTCTATATGGCATACTGGGACCATTATTAGAAAACACTTGTTTGACATGGACTGTAAGTAATTAAATTATCTCCACAAAGTTCTCCAAACTAGCAAATTGATTATGGTGTTATATTATAAGTTGAATTTAGTTAACTTGGTCAACATCAATAGAATGCATTGTCATCTATAAATGACTTTTATTTCGTTGTAGTATACGGGAAATATGATAGCGATCTTAGTGTGTACTTGTCTCTTCTGGTTTGTGTTTGTAATCAATTTGGATGAAAACAAATATTGCAAAAATCAGCTCTATCAAGAATGGAAACGAGAGTTGAGATGTGAAGACAGTATGTTTTATTATCAAACCCGTGTAAGTTCTATTACCTTCTATTACCTTCCATTAAAAAGAATAATAATTTTTCTCGTATGAAATTGTAGTTAAATTGTTGTGGAGTTCTAGGTCCCGAAGATTACACGGCAGAAAAAAAAAGTATTCCTGCAAGCTGTTATTATAATTATAATACGATAAATGAAACATTTTTATTTGAGACTGGCTGCTTAGAGGAACTTACCAATCATTTTAAATCAATACAGTCCCGATATGGATGGATCATGTTTTTCTCGGTTATAATTGAAGTAAGTATAAAATAAACTGTAGTTTTAAAAGCGAAATCAAAACAAATATTTATTTAATTTGTTTTTTCAGCTTATTTGTATTATCATAGGTGTACTATTGGCACGGCATTACCAACGCTATTATAGACCAGTGCAAAATACTCCACGCTAAATGCATATTTATATATATATATTGTGAAATATTTAATGAAAATAATTTTTTTATAAAAAAAGTGTTTTTAAATGTTTTTGATAACTTATTGGAGTGTTGTGAATGGTCTCATTTATGCCATAATTTTTCCAAAAATCTTTACTTATGGAAATTATATTTTTTATTAGCTATATTTATAATAAAAAGTTGAAAGTTATTCTATTAGTGTTTTCTTAACTGTTGTTAAATCGAGTTATTCGAAAATAGTGACATGCCTTCACTCAGACATATCACTCGACATATCATGTTAGTTCAACCATACAACATGTCGGTTTTCATATCTTCTTAACCACATGACCTACAATTTTTTAATGCAATTATCAGGGCAATTTACCTAGTATGTGGTTAGAACATATTTTTTGAGGGTAACTCTATACCTAGTACCTGGTGTTATAACTGAAGTTAAAAGTATAAAATAAGTGCTTGTATTTTTTTTGCAGATTCCAAGGTCTTGCAAGACTTAGGGTTACAATTCATGACAAATACTTTTTTCCATATAAACGACTATTAGAAACTGATTCCGAAAACCTTACAAAATTCTCAAAGAATATTAGTTGGCCGTAATGATGTCGTTAGCTCATCTAGGAGCTAACTAGCTAAGATCAAATATCTACGAACTGAGAAGAACCGCAGTACGGAAACTTTACAGAGGAATAACTAAATCGGTAGGAGAGGGAAAAAAGTAATAATAAAAGCTTTAAAACAATACAATGGTCCCATAAAAGGTTTATTTGTAGCCTGGCTAACGAACTTTTGTGTTAAAAAGGAAGGGCTTACAAAAATGTTGGTTGCAATAACACGGTTCTGTTATAACACGGATCTGTTAGCTGACCGATATTCCTATTGGAATATGGGATAAAATAGTTTATCATTCACTATTATTTTAAAATTCTGAACAATGTTATAAAATAGATTATATATCTGATTTCATTCCACACTTTTAATCATTAAACCATTTGTCTAAACTAACTAAGTAGCTGGGGGAGATAACTGAGAGTCCCTATTGATATAGTTTTGTATTATTATGTGTTTAGAGTTAGGGGTATGAGCTCTAAAGCTCATCTATACCAATATCTTTTGGAAACTTATGTGAAATTAATATTTTTATTTTTATTTCTCTCCCTCCCACAGTAGAGGGAGCGAGGACTTCTACCTAAGAGTTCTGAACAACTTAACCAATATAAAACTTTTCTTTTCTGGGTCTGTTCAGTTGCGTGTAGAAGCCTGAAGTGTTGCAAATGAAGTGTACAGAAACACACGTCAAGCCAAAAATAAATCAATCAGTGACTTTCCATATGCAAAAAACCCTTTCTGTCTGACACACACTGGTTCGCGTAGAAACCAAAACTATTGCATATAAAATATTAAAAGGAAAAGTATTCAAAAAGGTAAAAAACAATAACAAGAATATATTAAACCTTGTTAACAAGGAATTCGTATGTTATTTCATTAGAAGTCTTTTTTGTTTTCCGCAAATTGCGCTTTTATGTTAACAGCAAAATGAGTTTTCAGTTTTATTTCAGGCAAGGATCAAACACGTTAACGCGGAAAATTACCTCGAAACTCTTATGAATCGCGTTCAGACGTAAGTTAAACGAAGTTTAATCGAAAGTTTTGCTTTTCATTATTTTTTTTCTCATATAAATTCGTCCTGTGCGTGTGGGTCCTGTGTATCCTGTGAGGAAGTGCGAATCCGTTTCGTGGTTAATTTATTGTGTGTGATCTGAAAAACCGCTCTTATAATTTTATTTATTAAGCGTGTTAAGTTTTTTTAATTTATTTTTGAAAAAATCATTGTTTTTTATTTCAAAATTTTTTTAAATTTATTATAATTTAATTAAAAAATATTAAAAGTCCTAATATATTGTTTACACAGTGATTTGTTAATGTTGTAGTTATCTACCAATAGCTAAAAATATGCATTATATTTTTTAATATATTTTAAGAATTATTATGTACAAAAATAGAGCTAATATGATAAACTATTATGAGGAACATTTGTAATTAAATTTGTAATTGAATTTCTCAAGAACCCGATTACATGCCAAAAGCGTCTCAGTTCCACTATGTTTTAGCAACTAAGTCATTATCTCTTTGTCCCCTAAGTTTAAGCAACGTTTTAGTTTTGAGATTAGTTTTTGGTCGGTTAATATAGTCTAAAATTTCTGAAATCTGGGTAGATTGAAATAATTAAGTAGGTAACTATAAAAACTGTTGGCAATAGGATGTTATAATATATGGACAAATTAAAATTTTTTATAATAAATAGAAAATGAATATTTTGGTTAACATGTTATCAATTTAATTATTAATATACTAGCAGTTCCACCATCGTCATACCATTAATGGGTATACCTTGCATTCTCAACTAAGTAGTGGTTTCTAACAGAAACTTAAATAGAACTTTAATAGGTCGACTAAATCCAAGCCTACGAAATCCTCAAAGTTCGCTTTAAAATTAACACTTAATCGGTACTTTATCGCTTCTTTCATAGCCTCATACTGAAAGCTTCAACAATACATTAGCTTTTACTAAGACTGCCTAATAAAGTCGACGATATAACAGTTAAAAAATGACTTTAAAGGAAAAACGTTAGCAGAATGATATTTCGTACTTGTTAAATTTAGAAGAGTGTCTATTCTGGTTATATATCATATAAAACCTATATGATGTCATTTCTCATTTGTTAGTAAATGAAAATCTTACATATTGAAGGAAATATTAATACAAGTATTTCCGGGAAGTAAAATATATATATAAATGGGACTTTATCTAAATATGTGACTCATGGATGTAGTCGTTACGTGAACCAATAAAGGTCAATTTTTTCCTTATTTGCTCGATTTGGCTCTGTTACATTAATATTAGCAATATTTTTCACCAAATTATTTAACAAAATCTTATAAAAAATTGTTATAAACTAATTAAGTTTCTGCATAATACTAAGTCAGCTCAAAATATATATTTCATCACTATAAGACAATATAAGATATTTAGGTCTATGTTTCATTTTTGAATATGTGCATTTGCTGAAGAAAAGCAAGCATTTTATAAAAGCTGAAGCCATCCAATGGACTTGTATTGATATCCCAAAGAGTGTTCCGTTCAACGATTGCAAGACTCATTTGACTTACTTTTGATAATATATAAGAATTATCTGTATTTACATATCAATATTATTTGTCAAATAATTTAAGTTCCTGTTAAGTATAATAAATTTTATATTTTCTTATCTTTAATTATCCTTGCAAAAAGTTAAAATGTGTGGAGTGATAAAATTTACAGAAGCAACAAATGCTATAACTTTCCTTAACGAACAAATTTTAAACTTTCATTTTGTTTTACTTAAACTAAAACTTTCATCATGAAAAAGTAATCAAATAAGTAAAAGTTACAACCTCATTTCACCATACAAAGCATACAAAGCAAATGCAATGCATTCAGAGGATATTCAAGTGCCTCCACGTCGATGAATTTGCATTATCAATGCAATGTTAAGAACTTCCGATGCAAATCAATAAAAGTGAAATTGCATATACGAGTATAAAATAATAAATAAAAATATGCAAAATATAATTGGTAAGGAAATATTCAATAACTTATGACCCAAGAATCCGCCTACAATATGTGGAAGACTCTGCATGGAGCACCCAATGGAGGTGAATGAATGAGCGAATGAGTGAATGCATTTAAGACTTTGTATGGAAAATGATTTATGGCTGGCAACACGCAAACTGCAAACTTTTCCAAAGACTCGTAAATGAAAAATCTAACAAAGGTGCCATGCATGATGTGGTATGGTGTATCCTCGCTCACTAGTTGTCTTATCCTTGTCGTCATATGTTCAACACGATTTCAGCCCATTTAACTCATCAAACTTAACTACTAGCGTTCAGTGCAGGAACGGTGCCTCAGCACGGAAAAAGTTTGTTACACAAAGTTTTGTTAATTTTTCTAATTCATGTATGAGCTTTAAAGCTGCTGAGGGCTTATTTTGAGCAGGAATCCTTTTTGTTTCCGTTTTTATGGCACTGCACATGATAATTACCAGAACACATTGCTTACGATGTGTTCGTTGTATGTTCGCGTCGATGGTATTCAGATACATTGCAAAATTTTGATTTTCAGTTGCGAATCAATTCTGTTTCATATGTGGACGTAGGAAATTTTTACTGAAGACTTCGGTTTGACATTATTTTAAGTGTTACTAAAACAAGCATAGAACAGCAATATGGCCAGTTGGACTGCAATGAAAACACGGTGCGTATGAGTTACCACTGTTCTCAAGTGATTGTGGTTAGTGCAGAGTGTTTATGTGTCAAAAATTATAATGTGTAGTTGATAACATTATTAATATTGAATTTGTAATAATAAATCAATCCGGAAATTATTATAAGAAGTCGAAAAAAATGTGTACATTTGATAATATTAATAATGAACTGGTTTGTTCGTTAACCATCGGTTAACTATAGATTATGAATCATTAATTCAAAACACATGTCCTATTCGATGTGATAAGTATGAGTTACAAGCTGAAGTTACAAGAATATATTCAAATTCATAGTACTTAGCTTTATTACCTATTGACATAATCAATAGTTTAATTAGATTAATTTAATGTTTAATGGTAATAATTAGAAAAACATTACGTTAAAAATTATATATATAATTCCATTTTAATTTTTACCTAAAAGTCTTTGTATTACTTTATTGAATGATGTAGAGTGATAAAATTAATAAAAATATGAATAATTTTTCAGTCTTAGTGGAATTACATTGACATAAATTTTATGATTATTTGTATATATAGTTCAATAATCAAAATAAAATAATGGATTTGTGGATTTCCAACCAACTTGATTGTTAAAGCAAAATTGTAATAATTTATATGACTCTTAAGGTTAATTTTTTTGTCAAATGTGACTCGTCTTATGACGAAAAGAAAATTTGAAGGGTTCGAACAGTAATGAAGAAACAACAACAACGATGTTTCGAGTTTTGCCAAGTACTCATCAACAGTGATCTTATGAAATATTCAAATATTTATTTAATTAGTTTATAGTCCATAATTCCATATAATTCCATAAATCCATATAATTTGACATTAGTTAGTTGAAAATTTTAAGGGAGTTTCTGTTTGTTTAGTAATATTTCAGTTATAATATATCAGACAAAAGATTAAATTCATAATGGATATATTAAATAATTTATACATTATATGTATTTTATAAATCTCTTACGTATTCAATTAATAAAAACAAGGATTTTATACTATGATGTACAGTCGTAATGAGAATTAAGGTGACAACGCAATGATGTTGCTACAGTTTAAAAGGGCATTTCTTCTTCTAAAAAAATTCGGTGAAGACAATTCTATTTTGAACAGAAAAGAGACTTTATATAAAACTGTGATATATGAGACAGATATTTGAGAAAGAAAGTTAATTTGAACTGCAGATTTTTGCAAGTGGAAAAGGAATTCAATAAACCATTCTTCTGCTTTTTCTGATTTGCATCTGATTTGTTTTTGAGAAGAATCCCTAATCAAATGGCGTACCTGTCAATGAGGTAGGATTCTAACAGTGTAGCGATTTTGGTAGGCATTATGTGGTGGGCGAGAGTAACTAATCTGTATGTATGTCATTCGCCATGTATGGACGAAAGATATTTCCTCCTTTTAAGGTGTGCTGTACAGTTTAATTGATGATAAAAGGATTCCTACAACTTAAATGTTTGATGTACTAGTAACACCTGCGTCACTTTTAACAAATTCGTCTGCTTTTCAGTGACTAGTAGCTTTCCTATGATCACTTGAGTGTATTGACATATCGTTGAGAGCTATTTGACTTTCTGATACAAGCTTAGATAGTATTGTGAATACATCAGCAAGGAATATAGTGGTCGTTTGGCTGCCATTGAAAATGTAAATTAAATTGAGATTAATTATAAAATTATTAATGTTTCATTTAAGAAACATTACTGCACTGCATTAATTTGAAGGATAGTCATAGGTTGAGTTCCTTGGAAATACATGATTTTTTAAGACATCTTTGAATTTGTCTTACAGACCTTATAGATAATAGTAGCTGGAGGTTGAGAAGACCTCCAATTTCTTGAAAGGGTTGCAGAGTAGATAATTTATTATATATACAACGCTGTATTATATTATCGCATTGTTTTTGCTTTTTCCAGCATTACTGCTTCTGTACGTACTACAAATCGCATAAATGCTCTACTGACGGAGTCAATGTTTGGAAGGCGTAAAGCATTATTGAAAGCCTCACAAAATGAAGGTGAAAATGATGGCGATATTGAAAATGAGAAACCAAAAAATAATTGGGAATTCTTTCGAAATAATTTTAGCATGGAACGTGCATATAAACTTATTGAAACAACAATTGAAGAACGCATGACTTGGGACCGATTAAGTCGATCCTATGATTCATGGCGTTCATTGCAATTAATCGAGTCTTTAGCAGCTGATATTAGAAATAAAATAAAAAAATTGAATTATCGAAGGTAACAGAAGATTTAGTTTAATCAATTTTTTTAAAAAAATATTAATATTTTCTTTATAGGTACCGCATAATATGTGTTGTTTCGCTTGTAGAGAAACAAAATCAAGGAGTCAATATGCGTATGCGGTATTTAATGGACGAAAAGCTGGATAATTATACGAATTATGTTTATGAGCGTCCAACATACTTTATTGTTGTTACTCTATTTTTAGTTTATAAAGATTAAAGTTTGAATATAACATTGTTTATGAGAATTTTTTATTTAATAATTTTGTTAGTTAAATATCACATCAATATCATATCACATCGCTGCCCTATGCCACATCAAAACTATACCATTAATAACAGCTAATCTTTTTAATTATTTCTCAAGCTAGCAAATAATATGCATAGTTTCCATATAATGTTGGATATCAGTTGACTTAACTTTCAAGTTAGGTATCAACTTATGATTTTACGGATTTACCTTTAAAATGTTAATCAATACTATTGGATTGATATTAATTTTTATATCCTTTAATGTAGAACAATTTTTGTTTTGGCAATAAATATAAACTGGAAAGTAAATTTTTTCCTTATGTATATTTTATTTGTAAGAAATATAATTGTTTTTCGAAAATATATGTGTAATACCATAATTTTCTACTATAGTTCGAATTTTGTCAATTTTCCTGGCGTTGATGTCGTGCTCTACGCGCAACTCGATCTCCCTTCCTTTCATAGACCAGTGCCAATGCCGCTGCAACTATCAAACAAAGTGCCTTCAAAAGATGTTTAATTTATAATCTGTAGTTGAGTTATTTATTAAGTATTTAACACATACTTCAATTATGAAAGCTAACAAACAAAAAATCGCAAGTGATTTCATAGTGCGCTTGTAATAGTTAACAACATCATTCAAACAATCATCATTCAACACATTAGCCTGATTTTCGTGATTAAAATGATCATAACAACTTTGAGAAATTGCTTCTTGATCCTCCAAGAAATTTGGTTCGCCAGCATATCCACAACATTTGTTCTATAATTTTATATATTTATATATTACGAGCATTGTTGCTGTTTTTATTTAATAATAAAAATTTTAAACCCACCATAATTTGATACGCGAATAGATTGTCTTCACACTTCAATAATCGCTTCCATACATAACTTATCTGTTGAAAGCAGTATCTCTTTTCATCCAAATTCATTACAAAGGCAAACCAGGTAACAGCGGTCACTAGTATTATCGTTACCATATTTACAACATACTGTAAAGATAGTATAGTATATAGGTCAGTTTCTAAGTAAAGATTATTAGAAAATATATGAATCATGCAACAAAAGTTTAACTGATAATCTATTAAAAAATCAATTCCTTCATTCGATATAAATTTTAAAATGAAAATTATATATATTGAATACGGTTTTCGATACTATCCACACAAAATATATGTTTTGTACTATATATATAAGCAAGAACTATGTAAATTTCCTTATTTTGTTACTTACAGTCCAAGTTAAGCAACTACTTCGGCGCCATGGACCCAAAATTCCAAATATCGACACAATAAAACCGAAAATAAAGACGATTAGCATTACATGTAATATATGATGGCTTCTGTCTTCATCCTTCAAGTCATAAATAAAGATGGTATTCATAATGATACAAATTATTGCAATGATCTAATAAAAATAGATTTAGTGAGTATATTTTTTATTTATTGCAAATAAACTACAATTTAATAACTTAATTAACTTATTTATAATATAATTTAGATTATAGTGATTCTTTGTGATACTCTAGTTACGTCTGTTCAAAAAGTAGTGAGCCATTCAAAATTACATATACCATAACTAACGGAATTTTTTGTGTATTGATTGCACTGCCGGTAACGTGTGTGTTAACTATTATGCTATTACAATGCTTGATTTCATTATAATGTCATACCTTAGCTCAGATCAAGCAATTTTTACAAATGCTTAAGATATGACAACAAAATGTGTGACAGCAAAGTATGTTCCTAAAATGTGTCACCTTATCAATAGTTCGTATTTAAAACGATATCATGATATAGTTACTCTCTACTTCAGACATGGCACTACTGACTTTTTTAGTTCCCAAACTCAAAAAGATGTTTTTAACAATAGATGAGATTAATATACATTCGCAGAGCGAGCTCAAGCTCATAAGTAAAAATGAGTTCCAGAGTTCTTCTCAATCTATCAATTACGACGGCTTAAGTACATTATGTCAAAATAAGTAATATCGCACGTTGGTTATATATATTAAATATATATTTGTAATATATAATATATAATATATATATTTGTTATATATATTTGCAATTATATTTCAATAAACAAGTATTGCACTTAAACTTAATAAACTTAAATGTGTACTTTAGTTTTGAGGTCTTGTGATATTAGTATCAATTGTGTGAAGCCAAAGTGAATGCATTGACTATATTTATTTGAAGAATATGTATAAATCGTATATATATAAATTTTTACAATTGATGCTGTAAGTTAATAAAACTTAATTTATAAAAATCTTAAGTGATTAAGTGACCTGTGGGCAGACAATACAGTTGTTTTAGATGCTGATATACCATATATCCTTTATTAGTGCCCTAATCACCCATTAGCGTTAACATTCACTGAGTTCGAACCCTTGTATTTGAGACACTTTTCAAATACTACTGATGATGCATATTTGTTAGTATCCAAAACAACCGTTTGATTAATACAAAAGTTTTATTTAATGCCATCAATTTTGACAGAGTTTCATTAGATTTATAATTTTATTACTATGTTGAAGCTAGTTGAGTCAGTACACTTAAGCACTTTTACTCTCTCTTAACTGCTAGATTTATTCATAACCTTTCCCTACGCTTTGACTGGATTATTATTTATCTCTTCATCAGATTAAGCCATACCTTACCCCAGATCTGCATACCTCCCCGAGGAGCCTGTAACCATTCTAAGATTCGATAACGTGATGTTGGCAAGTATCATTTTGTTATAAAATATTAGATATAATATATAAACTGGACTCACCGCAAAGATGCTGTTAATTACTATTAGAAAAATTCTAAAAATTTTGTAATAATTCATTTTTTGACATCAATTTGTAGTCCTCGTTGTCATCTTTTTTTGTCGCCTCCTCTGTACTTACGAGAAAAATAAAATATAAAAGTAAAAAACGACATTTTAAGAAAATTAAGCAAATCATTGACTATAATATTAAATAAGAAACTAAAAAAAATTATAATTACATATTCGTACTTTTAAAAGGAAGTTTACTATGTTTTCATCTACTATGAAATATTTATCGTATGTATGTATGATAAAATATATATTCGCTATAGGCCAGATTTTTTTAATAATTTTTATTCAGATATATAGAGATTCAAGTTTGAAGGTTGCTTAAGGTTGGATCTGTTTACCAGATGGACTTCCCAGCTGTATGTTTTGTTTCGTTTTTGAACTAAGAAATTATAACACGAATTTAAATTAATTACTCAGTTTTATTAAATAGTTGTTGGGTTTTAGTGCATATTTAATTAATATATAATCATGATTAACAATTTTAAATTATTACAATTTTAATATTATTAAATATATAATTCTACCTTTAGATTGATGAGTGGAACTTACACAGTTGATGTGTGAAAAAAGCTGAAATTTTAAAAGCACATAAAGCTTTTGATGGCTCTGCTTTGTAACTAAAAGCTTTCTCAAAAGCAGGACACGAACCATTTTATTAGAACCTAATAGATGCTTTATAGAAAATTATACTTTTGTCTTTCTTGCACGAGTCGCTTATCCTTCACTTGAGAAATATTTTGTATAAATGATTTTGCTTCTGAATCGGTTAGATATTTTCTAGATAAAAATTTATTTTTCTTGAAATTCTTATAGTATGTTCCCATTACCTTTATTGAAGTTGATTAACAGTATAAAGGTTTTTAGTCTGTTTAGTCAAATCAAACTTAGTTAAGAATAAATCAAACTTAGGTAAGTATAAATCGAGGGAAATTATATCAAAAATGTAGAATGCAATATTGCAAAATTTATTTCCCAAAAGGGAAATGATCGAAATTTGACATATTTAATACATGAAACAAGAGGTAAGAGTTTTTTAAAGTGTTGATTTTTTATAAATAAATATTATACACATATATTTTTCGATTTTCTTCGTTTTCTATAATGAGTTAAATAACTTCTGTTAACAAGATAAAACCAAATATTAACTACTAACAATTGAAATCAAGACAAATGAAAGCTTTCCTAGAACTTTCACAGAACTTACTGACTTTTAAAAGCTTTTTCGCACGCATAAATCAAATTAGACCAAGGGAAACGATTTAATGTTAAAATGATTAATATAAATTGATTTAGCTATAGTGGGAACATGGTATTAGGTATAGACTTTTAAACAAAAGTATATTATTATTTTTTATTTATTTAGTTTCAGAAGCGGAGATCTATCATTGTGGTCTTACTGGAAAATATTATCTCAAACTCTGGAGTAAAAGTTTAAGTTGAGCCTAGGTTATCTTATAATAACATGGTAACGTTGACCGTTTAAAATGTTCAGAAGAAAGAAACACTCCTTACAATAATTTGAATCATGAACTTTAAAACTGAGATGAATCTGCTAATTATTATATCTAATTTACTTATCCTTTGACTCTGATTTATTAGTACTAATGTTTATTGATTACGATGTGACTCTATTAAATTAATTTGCTTTTCAGTGTTTACTGATCTATCGTATGATGAATGCTGTTGTAGAACTACAAATTAGATCCGTTAGATTGTTAATTCACAGCAGTTGTATGATAACATATATTAGTTCGTTAGTTAGTACGTCTAACAAATTCTTCTGCTGACTAATAAAATTTTCTAATGCATAAAAATCTACTAGCTAAATACTTGTAAAACCGACTATTGTTTTTTCATAACAAAAACAAAAAAAGGGACAACCAACCAGGGACAATGGAATAGCTAACCACGTCCCTCTTAAAAGAGCGGAAGTCGTTCAACTTAATGTCGTGTTCGTCATCGTTGTTGTGTATTTTCGACCGCGTTGGTGATTTTACGATTATTGAAGCAATTATTAAGGCAATTGCAACATGTTAAGTGCTGCCAGTGCGCCAGTTGGTTTTAAGCTGTTTTAGCCCATTTAGTATTTGGCTTAAATAACAACAGAACTGAGTGCGGAGTATCACAGGAAAG